AAGGTTCTGCACAGCTACTGAGGATCATTTGCATGACATTCACAACAGGACTGTGCATGCCAGGTAAAACTGATGATTTCTGAGCTCAGCACTCAGTACTTTGGAGAAAGTAACTACATTCCAATTATTTTCATTTCAGACAGAAGTTCTCAGCCCGGCGGTAGCAAACAGACCCTACGGAGTGCAGATCAATGTTTCTTTTCTTTATAGATTTGGATGATAGAGCCTCGATATGGAAAAGGCTTTGGTGACACAAGGTAGTCTTTTGTTCTTGATTATCTAAGAGAGAATAATATTAAATGCTAAAATAATCTAGGCAAGTACTTTCTTCCATCCCTCTTGCTGGATGCAGCATAAACGCTGTTTTTTCTCACTCAAAGATCAAGCAAAGCTGAAAAGCAGAGAGGATCACTTAAATCAGTGCTATGTATAATATATAATCAGAGCTTCAACCCTGCCTTTGGAGCACACACACATGTGCTCACACACATAAAACACATGCAAATGTGACCCTTGACAGTACTGGTAAATACTGCTAGAATCTCTAGAGGAGACTCAACTTTCATTTAAATCCCACCTGACTGACTCCCTGATCACACTCACCAGTTTTGGTGAGGATGCTGCTCTCTTCTCTGACTGCATTTGGTTATTCCAAACCTGACTGTATTGCAACATACCATGAAAGCAGTTCCTGAGTTGCAAGGAGCCCACTGCCAGTACTCCAACCTCTTGTGCTCCACAGTTTGAATACAGCAAGGTGATTTTAAAAGGTCTTTCTATTCGGCCAATCTGGGCCATCAGGTATTTCCATTTCATCCTAGAAAACAACAAAGAGCTAACAGACATACACACAACAGCTGAAATCCATGGAGTCTCTAGCATAAAGATTCTGCACTGCACCAAACAGAAGTAATAGTATCGACAAGGGGAACTGACTGATGAATGTAAACTCCAACATAACAAACAGGTGTTAATATAAAACAAATTGTGTTCAGCCTAACAAGCTCATGTTTAGTTATCTTTGCTGCAGATCCTCTCCCGCCACACTGTGGCACAACATCCAAGACCATTCAGCACTGACCCAGAACTGAATCACTTCTGCTACGTGACCCAGCTTTGTTCATCACTCCATTACATCCCGTTGGCCACAAAAATCAATGGGTCTTAATCAAATGGGCTCAATGAGCCACTGAAGGTACAGACAGTCTTTAAATCTTTTGAGTTTACCTATTAAGCATACTAGACCTTCCAAGCATTGAGGCATGGTTCTAGTACCTCCACCAAGTTACAAGGCACGCTGCAGATGAGACATCACAGTATCACCAGTGTTAGCACACCCCTGAGTGCAGGAACCTGTAGCACACAGCCTCTGATTCACAACCAGTGTTACGATTAGTAGCGGAAGGTAAAGAGATTACTGCCTCACAGATGAAAACAATGACTAGTTCAGCTGCTGCACCTTAATCCTACATGTTTTATGAGCCTGACACTTTAGAACTTGCCATTTAGAGTCTGGTATATCAAAATAAATGAAAACCACTGGTGATCTAAGTCAATAAACCAAACTCTGAAACGTCATAACTGAGAAAGACACACTGTCTAGTCTGCCATCTCTGCTGGGAGAACTGTGGCATCTGGGAGAAGAGCAAGGCCACTGTCTTAAACCACTACTTGTGTGAACTGGCAGCCTTCTGATTCAGAGTCCTAAGGTCCCATGAAATATTCTAGTTCTGCACTGAAACACCTCTAGTACTGAAATTTGACTCCATTTGTAACACCACAGCAAAAGCTGGCAAGCATCCAGAGACCACAAAATGACAAGTAGCTTTGCATCACCTAGAATACTTCTGTGTATGGAGTCTCATCATCATTAAGGTATTCCCCTTCAGAGAAAGCCTCACCCCCAAGATCCAACTGCAGCAAGATTTCTAATGTTGTAAGTAATTACACCTTCTTTGCTTGGTTCCACTATCCAAACAGGGGCTAGTCCAGGCCAATTTAATTTTCTTAATGGAATCAGGAACAAAGCCCATTGTTGATCTAGCAGAAGACAGATCATTGCAGCAGGCTTCCAGATAAGCCAAGCTTGGCAATACCTTTACTATTGATTTTAAGTCACACCTGATCTCAAGTAAGGATGTAATATTACTCTTCTTCCAAATAGAGATGTTAAAATGGATTTGGATGTATGGAAGGGCTACCAGAGTCTGACATAATTTTGAGAAATTTGCATGGATAGAAAGTTTGAAGTTGCAAGCAACCTGATGCTTAAGAGGCAAGAGAAATTAAGATTAACCCTGCAAGCCTATACTTTCAACTTTTGATTTGTATTTTCAACTTTTGTTTTTCATTAGGCTCTCAATCTCAATTGCTAAGCAAAAGGCTTCTTCCCCCTCCTTACCATTCCTTTCTATGCCATGTTTTTCCATGCCCAACAAAGCTAACTCATTAATTTTAAGAAAGACTTTTAATATTAAGAACAGCAATTTCTTAATTAAGAGTGAAAAATTCAATGAAGCTGAACAGGAAACCTGAAACCTTTTCTGAATTAGGGGGACTCGCTGCACGGGTTATTGACCAAAGGTATGCACACTAAATGCTTCTAGGCTCAATCAGTGAACATATAGTTCAGAAGTTTCTCATTACTTTTCTACATACAGGAAGTTGTTGCCTGCAAGTCTTCACAAACATCCAGTTCTAGCCCTTGGACTTAAAAGGAAATGAATGAGAGAGCAGAACACATGCCTACCCCTTTTGCCTTCACTAAATGGTTAGAGGGTTCTTGATCCAGTGTATTTTTGGGTGCAATTTTAACAGAAGCACGAGGAGCAGTAAGTCATACTCCCAGATCGGTGTTCAAAAATCAGTCTTATATAACGGCTGGACAGCCTCTGCTTTTCTAGCTGCATTTTAAAATTAAAATGGCTCTGCTCATTGTTGTCAGTACATATTAGGCATTTTCTGAGGATGCCTACCAGACTACTCCCTTTCAAAGGCTTATGTAGTTGGACACCTAATTTATGAAACCAAGTGACCATACATGTTTCTAGACATTCAGGTTAACTATATGACAATGTTTCCATGTACAATAGTAGAAGTTAAATAACTTTTGTGGATAAAACCAACCACATTACTGCAACTGAAGTGTCAAAGATGGTAAGTTTCTACAAGTGTCTCAGAAGCTAGCACCACCCCCACCCACCCCCCAAAAAGGGGGAAGACACAAAAAGCTAAGCAATAATTGTTTTGTGAGGTTGGCTAACTGAAAACCCATGTGTGCACATGGCCATGAACTTTCTGCTTTTTGACCTATCAGACCATCATGGGCAGTGCCTTATACTTCAGAAAGAAAACAGAACAAAATCAGCTTGGCTTACTGACCACAGAAAGTGAAAAGATTATCCCTGCCCCAAGTGATGCTTTTTCATTTTCACTGAACTGTGAGCACTTAAAGTTGAAAGAAACTAGCTCCTTACAGAAACAGTTTTGGCTGACAACACTGAAATAATTGTGGTCAACAACAAACACAAGCATGTGAAACCATTCAAAACAAAAGCATACAGGGCTTGGAAGAATTTTCAGCTGTGACTGTTTCTGGGTCTGTGTGGAATAAGCAAAATAGTAAAAAAAAGGCATTAGATGTGACCTGAAGAAGCACCGTAACTGTAACCCTGAGAAAGTGAAGACAGCTTTCTGAGCCAAGTGCCAGACAAAGAAGGCTTGTGCTTCCAAGCAAAGTTACAGGGTCTTTGATGTTTGAACGCTACCGAGATAATGAGAAATATAATTTTATAGATTTTTTGTAAATATATAAAATTTCCAATGCCTCACTCCCTCGGTAGTCCTCCCTCTAATGATAGTAACTCAGAATACCCATGCCCTGTGGTTGTGGTATATAACAACAAATACTGTGACATTGCCCTGCTTATTCGGAGGACATGGTGTATGAAGGTCTACCTGTTTCTTTATTCTTTGAATAAGGTATATGTGAAAATATTAACAATTTAACAATAAATCCTAGCAGTGCAGCTGGAATTCATGATGAAAGAATTGAGCCTGGAGTTGAGGGATGACAAAAGGGACTGAGCAGGATTTTCTGGAGTGCCTGATTATCTGAAAAAGTGCCACCTAGACTTTTTGCTATATCTAAGTTTCTACCCTGATCTCAAGACAATCCCTTAGTAGTAATTGTCAACAATTAAACTATGTACTACACATAGGCACCTATCTCAAGGTCCTCCTTGTTCTGCTCTAAATTGTGCAGCAGCGCTTGGTTAGCACGGAAAAGCTTGTAGGACTCTCATTATCTATGGAAATCCACTGCAAAGCTTCAGGATGGTCTCTCTTCTCAACAACCAATGTTGCTAAAATCTTAATCATGGAGAGAATGTTTGTTTCAGACTACATGCCTCGTAAGAAGCAGCTCAATCACTGTGTTAGAAATAAATTTTGTCCTGCCTGCATGCTCAGATTTTTCTGGAATTGTGCAGAGATTTTGAAGAGTTTCCCTGTAATGAGGGGGGAAAAAGAAGGTTATTTAACCTAATATGGTTCCTAACTCTGCTTTATCTCTTTTCTATTCCTCCTTTCTATCTTGATTTAAACCAGGACTCTGTCACCTTCCATCTTTAAAATCTTAATACTAAACTCTCTGAGTTTATCAGTGCTTCATTTCACTAAGAAAAAGTAATACCAGTGTCTATGCCAAGTTCCAGTCAAGCTAACTCCGTCCTAATAAAACTAAATGCCATCACTTTTAGAGAGATTATAATCTTGATCGCATGTAGAATTGTTTTGCAGTGCTCAAATAAGCTGTTAAACAACATACACAATCCGTTCCAGAGATACAGCAGTGATTGTGATCAAAGCCCACTCTGGCCAGCTCGGTATATCAAAAAGGTACTTTATGAGTTTATGTAGGGGAACGGAGCTGTGACTGCAGTTGCAGAGCCTTGTCAAATACTCAAAGCAGCAACGGCAGTTGTAGGTAAAAAAGGACATTAGAAACTGATCCCCCCAAAATGCAACAGATTCCTTGTAAAATTGGCAAGAAGAAGGGGAAGAAGTAGCCAGGAAGGAAGTGAGCAATAGCTAAACACGAGAGAGAGGGGGATCTGAAAGAAAATAAACACCTTTTTTTAGTCAAACTATGCTATCTTTGGCTGACCAGGAGTCTTGGCTACAGATCTCCATGGCAGCCTGGAGAGTGCCAAAGAATTCAAAGAAAACAAGAGCTGGGATCTATTGCTTAAATTCTCCATGGGAGTCAGTCAGGTGATGGAAATAAAAAGCTCCGTTGTGTGTCTGACCCAGGTTCTTACAAGGCATATTGCGGCAAAGGAAAAACAAGCACATTGAAAATGGCAAAATCAGATGACACGTGGACTTTTCTCCTTTTCCTGTTGTGATTCATTCCCTTTGCCCATTTCTCCTCCTTACTGCATTCTGTTACACACAGGAATTAAGAAGTAAAACACTGGGAAGGTCAAAGAGAAGAGAATACAGAACAAGATCCAGGGTTACTGCACTTTTTCTTTTGGTGTTCACCTCTTCTCAGCTCTAGCCTCCATTTTTCACCTCCCTGAACTCTACAAATGAAGCAAAAGAGGATGCTCCTGAACTTAGCAGACAGAAGGAGGAAAATACAGGAGAGGTAAAGTTAGCCCTACCTAAAATGAGAGATATGACCCCTGTAACAATGATGGGACTCCTTGAATACTTAGAGATATCAGTTACATCACCAAGGCAGTCTTTGGACCGAGTGCATTTCACAGCTATAATCCTAGCATCAGTGAGAGTGTCAACCAGTCCTGACTCTTACACATGTGAGGGAAGAAGAGTGAGTCCTAAGCAAGTATGATTTTTTGCAAAGGGGGGACAGAAAACCTGGGTCTGTTACAGACATCCTGTCAGGAAGCTGCACGCTTCAGTCCTGGCAGTTCTGCCTTCATTTTCTGCTGTAACATCAGCAATGATCTCAAGAAGGGAGAAGACGCTTATAAACAGTGGCATGGGGGGGCTCCACCCTACCCTGCAATTCAAGGTCTAAACAGCTGCAAATTGATTGTCTTACCCGGCATCCTCCTCATGGCCAACTCTCAGAGAAATTATTATATTTCTGTTTGTCTCCACATATCTGATTTCAACTGTGAACCTCTGGAGGAGAGGAACAGCATCCTGTGAACATATGGCCAGTTCCAGCACGCAAGACTCCAAGCTCCCAGGCAGGATGGGGCTATGCAGGCTGAACTCACATCTATCTGGGAGCCTACTGGTGTTCAGAAGGAAAATGTCCCCTGTGAGGAAAAAAAAACAGAAAAAAAAAGAAAAAAAAAAAAAGAAGAGACACACAGTGTGGATGGAAGAGAGAAGTAAGAGGAAATAAGAGAGTAATAAGAGGGAAACGAATAAGGGTTTTGATGAAAGAAATAAGAAGAAAGGAGAAGACTATGCACAAAACCCCAAAAAATAACAAAGTAGAGAAAGAAGAATAAAGTAAAAATGAGTGAAAAAAATGAAGAAATGATAGAAGGAATGAGAAGAGAAGAAAAGAAACCAAACAAAGCAGAGTGAAGACATGTCCAATAAAACAAAAGCCAAAGACTTTGCAAGTCAGACAGCAGACATGTGAAGCCAGCCCTGGCTTGTAAAGGATTGAGTTTCCTCAGAAATATCCCGTCTTCATAAGCAAAAGTAGCTTATCCTAAAACAGGGAGATACCAAATGAGTATATTAAGGGGACTGGCTGTTTACAGGGTACACACATACACAACTCAGGCAGCACACATACACTATATGGCTCTTAGTGACTCTTGGGCACCGACAGTGCACTTACGAGTTGTGCACCAGAACAAGCACATGGCAGTATTTTTAGTGACATGTGCCTGAGGCCTCAGCCTGTTGGCTCTGTTGCTACCCCCCACAGCTGATACCAGTGCTGGGAGAAAGCAGATGTCCATTCGAGGGATCTGCAACTCTGCCTACCTTCAACATCTCCACGGGAGGAACTGTTTTCCAGAAGAAGCTGCTGCCTCTCCTGAGACACCAGGACACCAACCGAAGATAACACCCAGTCCGGTTTTCCAAAACTGTCTGTAGACGTCACCCATGAACAGCTTGAGCCGATGATACAAGAGATTTCTGTTGTGAGAAACCAAAGGTTTCAATGAGGCCTTCCCCAGTTCTAGGGACAAGGGTGATGCAGGCATGAATGAGCAGACGTACAGCATATGGGAACTATCTCTCCCAAGACATGGAAAAGTTGAGGGGAAAAAGAAAGTTTGTTTTGTGCAATAACAACAGAGTGTCTCCCACGGCAGGTGAAGTAACATGCCAGAATGAAAAACAACCCTGTAAACTCTTGGCAGGTGTAAATCAGCATCCTCCCACTGGTATAAATAGTAAATTTACATCAGTGGAAGGTCTAGCCCACATGTATATAAAATCCTGAGTGAGGATAATACCTAGTGCAGCAAGGACGGCGAAACTGTATGGCTTTAGCATCTTGGCAGAGAGGAACAAATGAAACTCTAAGGTCAAGCCTCTTTCAGCAATAGAAAGATTTTGACAGAGTCCTAAGCAGAATAGCTGAGCAATGCAAGCTTTACATATTTATTTACTTTTTTTTTTTTTTTAAAACAGCTTTGCTTTCCTCCAGCAGGATGGACAGGAACACCTTCTTAACAAACTCCAGAGTCTATTTGCAGCACTGAGAACACTAGATCATCCAGGCCAGAATTTTTCATAATCAGCATATTATAAACCAGACAAGAAGTAATTCACTGTTCTCTCATCAATCTAATATAAACTCCCTGAAGGGATGTTAGCTGCACAAAGCTCTCCCACGCAGAGTGGGGCTGAGCAGATATGGTAAACTGATATTAACTTGCACGATATTTATTTTCAGTAGTAATAATAATAATATTACAGTAATAACTGGAGGACCCCTAGGCCATATGAGAAATAATAAGACTAAACATTTGTATTTGGGATCCTGATGTTTGGAGTGTATTCAAACCTTGCAAACATGAATGACACAGTGTTATTCCTTTGGTTGCCTTATTCCCGGGGAGAAGACAGGTATAAAGAGCAGAATTAAGGTCAGTAATCTAACAAGGATAGGTGGTTGCACAGGCAACACAGATGGGGCAGAAATAAAAACATAAGAGCCTCTAGAAGATTGGCTATACTTCAACTAAACTTTCAGAAAAAGAAGAAATTGAAGCATCTTTTGAATGCAACAGCCGAAGTAGACAAGTTTTCCCAATTTTTGAAGTCTTATAATGACATTTTTATAAAACACCACCCAGTACGCAGAGGTAAGAGAAACACAGATGTTACAGAGTTGCTGTGGCTTGGGACAGGCTGTGTGTATGCAATGCCAGCTTCCAGTAAGACACAGGATGGAGGGCACTGGCCACTCTCTTGGCTCTGCTGGCTCTAGGGAAAGATGTCTGTGCACAGCTACAGCCTAGGGTTTGATGATCCAGTGAAACAGCTTTAGGGATCTCAACATCCCAGAAACTCCATGGCTTTGTGAGACAAAGCAGAGTCCCGATTCAGATCTGCTGTGCCGTTTCAAATTTATTTGACAGGTTAACTCAGTGTCCCACAGACTTATTATCAGTAGTAGAAATATTTCTATCAGGTAAAAATCTAGTTGGTCATAAAACCCAGAAAGCAATTTCTCTCACAACAGTATGACAGTGCAAGAAAGCAAATTGAGAGCTCAGGAAAGAAAATATTCCTTTTCTATTTTAAATAGAGGCTTACTCGAAACTAATGTTTATGACAACATAATTTCATTAAATCTTACCAATATCCCTGCTTGCAGTAGCAAGGACTGTACAAATGCAAACTTAATCATTCAAACATGCCTCACATAACAAAGCAGTTTGCAGCTCAGATAAATGAACACAACATTCTCCTTCAAAAGCATCTGATTCCCATACTCCAAGCTGTATAAAACCTATCTGCCACAATGGGAGGCCTGAGAGGATCTGAATTCCTGGAAGAAGAGTCTGAAACAGATCAGGGAATTTGCTGACATCCAGTAAAAAAAAAAAAAAAAAATGGACTCTGAGCTTTTTGGCAATAGATAATCACAGAACGGTTTGGGTTGCAAGGGACCTTACAGATCATTTAGTTCCAACCCCCTGCCACGGGCAGGGACACCTTCCACTAGCCCAGGTTGCCCAAAGCCCCGTCCAACCTGGTCTTGAACACTGCCAGGGAGGGGGCAGCCACAGCTTCTCTGGGCAACCTGTGCCAGTGTCTCACCACCCTCACAGGGAAGAATTTCTTCCTTATATCTAGCCTAAGTCTGCCCTCTTTCCATTTAAAACTGTTACCTCTCATCCTATTGCTACACTGATCAAGAGTCCCTCCCCAGCTTTCCTGTAGCCCCTTTAAGCACTGGGAGGCCACTCTAAGGTCTCCCCAGAGCCTTCACTTCTCCAGCTGAACGCCCCCAACTCTCTCAGCCTGTCCTCACAGGCAAGGTGCTTCATCCCCCTGATCATCTTCGTGGCCTCCTCTGGACCTGCTCGAGCAGGTCCGTGTCCTTCTTATGTTGGAGACTCCAGAGCTGGATGCAGTATTCCAAGATAGCAGAGCAGAGGGGAAGAATGCCCTCCCTTGACCTGCTGGCCACACTGCTCTTGATACAGCCCAGGATATGGTTGGCTTTCCGGGCTGCGTGTGCACATTGCTGGCTCATACTCAGTTTTTCATCTACTATTTCTCCCACGTCACAGAATCATCTTGGTTGGAAAAGACCTTGATCATCTAGTCAAGTCCTTCTCCTCAGGCCTGCTCTCAATCCACTCATTGCCCAGCCTGTGTTTGTGCTCGGGATGGCCCCAACAATCACGTGCATTGCATTGTGATGGAAAGATCCATCAAGAAGAAGCTATAACCCTTAAGGTTACACTGGTCTTTCTGGGGCATTCCTCCATTTCCAGTCAGAAATCCAGTGGCACAACTTTCTCGTAAAGGATCTTTGTGATTGCCAGCATCTATCTTGCACCTATATTCTGAAGCAGAAATAAGGAGGATGTAAGGAAGAGGACTTATGGTACCTGGTTTAGAAGGCTGATGCAATGAAACCATCCTACTTTTTATCAGGGAGAGCTTCTGAGGAAGATTTGGTGAAGAAGAGTTTTCTTCATGTGATCCAGAACAGGAGACAACAACTATAACAAAACAAAAAGAACAGGGGAAGATTTTGATGTTTCTATACAGAACTATGCTTCCATATTGTTAAGCATAAACATATATTTAACAAAGCCCTGTTATATTACACTCACCCTTGTTACATTGTACTGGTGCAGTACTGTCCCAGGGATGTTTCAGAATAGTCCTACCACTTCTCAGAAATATAACTACAGCAGAATACTTTACTTAGTAATGTGTTCTTTACTATTCTTTATCCACTCACATTTTTACCAGCTTATATAGTCTACATAGACACTGTATATTCCAGCAGTGCCCATGTTGCAGCACCCAGCTGCCTGCCAACAGGTTGGACAGGGCTTTGGGCAACCTGATCTAGTGAAAGATGTCCCTGCCTGTGGCAGGATGCTTGGACTAGATGACCTTTAAAAGCCCCTTCTGACCCAAACCATTCTATGATTCTGTGATTAGAAGAAGAGTTCAACTGTAAAATATATGCTATCTATACAATACACGACATGGATTTATCGGCAATCTTTTGGGATGACCTGTATAAGTGCTCTCATCTTCACCAGACAAGAACACTCTATCTGAAACTAACACTAATGAAACCTTCGCATCACTGCACACATCCAGAGATTTCTTTCTTACTGCCAGGTACAAAGCCTGGGATTTTCAAAGGAATCAGGTAACTTTCCTGTATCTGATATCTAGAACATGTAGTCTGTCCAAAACTCTTCTTATTAATCCCCCTGTACTGCTCTATCTCAGGGATCCCTTTGTCATATAGCTATAAAAACCTTCATGGGCAACTGTGACATTTGATCCTGACTATGGCACCAATACATACACAGTACATACCAATACAGACCTTAGAGTCCTGATATAAAGTTTGGTTGTGCTGGATAAAAAGACCAAAATCTCAGAAGATATAGAAGGCCATAGAAATTATTTTCTATTTCACCAATGTGAATAGTAAACCCAGCATGCTAAGATTAGCTGATTTTAAATGGAGGCGGTGTTCTGGATCAAATTTTTGTTATTCAAAGGAAAATAAATTTACCCAAACTATTATCCATTGTAGTACTTCTGACAATTAAATGTTCATTACCTTCTGACCTCTCTTTGGAACAACTCATACCAACAATGGCTTTCTTATTTAACCAACATGTGCATGTGAAAATACACAAATCCCAGACTAAGCACGCAGTAATCTTTATTTAAGATTGTCTTAGTCTTTTCTAGGAATCATAAACAAGTTGAATAAAACGTACTTATTTTCAAAAGATGTTCAAAGACAGGGAGATGCAAAATGAATTGCTTTCAAACCTCAGCCATGTGTGTTATGAATTCAGCAATATAAAAATGTGAAACCATGTCAGAGGAGACAGGAACCTTATTCACATGAATTGCAGTTGAGAAAAAAAAAAGTATAAACATCCCATTGATAATAGCTAAGATATTGTCAGCAAAATGATTTTGAACAGTAATATGAAAACATACAGAAGGATCTAGAAAAAGAAAACCAAAAACCACCCAAAACTTGAACATAATCTTAAACTTTTTCAAACTTACCACTGCTTTTGGTTTTTCAGCAGTATCTGGTCTGATTTTAAAATGCTAAAATTATTTTCATTTTAACATATATGGCAACATGCACCATTCAGTGAGTAAAATACTGTGAAATGTTTCATAACATAAGAATGCTGTATCCTTCCATCTTTTATTATAGTACTAAAGGCATCCATCAGTCTTCATGGGGTTCTAAGGAAAGGATAACTTTAGAATAGAACAGCATCATGCTGCAGCAGACACATGGTGTACTGATAACAGACCTGTGGTCTCCACAGACCAACTGTCAATCCCTACATCTTTTCCTGACTCTGTGTTCAAATATTTATGGATATTAATGGTGGAAAAGCTGATTCTGCACTTTATAGCAGATCAGTGTCAGTGTGTTATAAGTAAGGTATAATTGGATGAAATCCTCAAAAACTGTGAATTCTTACGTGGCACTTAGCTGGCCAAAGTTTGGGCAGCCTTATGAAAGGCTTGTCTTATGAAAAATACATGCTAAAAATCAATCATGTATTGCAAACAAATCTATTTTACTACATTAAAAAAAATTCTGCTGTGGAAAGAGAACAAGACCTTCTGACAACTTGAGTCTGCTCCTCCCAACTTATGTTCTGTGTCTGTTGAGACATTGCTCAGTCCTATATGTCCTGATCTTTGTTAAGCACTGCTGTAGGTTCAGTATTTACTTCCCTCAGGGCTTTCTGTAAAGCCTGTTCCACCCACTCATCTCCTTACAATCCAAGTTGCTCATATATTTTGGAAATAGCCTAAATATCATGGGACCCACAAAATGTAGTACAGTCACTGCAGAAGTTCTGCTAGAGACATTCCTCCTGACAAAACTAAAACTTAATCAAAATATCTGACTTGCACTCCCCTCCACCCATTACATACACACCTTTGGGATTTTCCTCCTCTTTTTCATTAGCAGACAAGTTTCAGTGGCAGATTTACCATGAACAGAGACCTAATCTACTTGAACAATGAGTTTACGGCTTCAGTGTGAAAAAAAATCCACTGCCATTGGTGATGGCTGAGACAAACAAGGTACAACAGTTTTTTGTACCATTGAGGTAAGCGTCTATGAAGTTTGCTGGTCTGGTATTAAGATATATTAACACTTTACTGCTTCGCCACAGAGAGCACTGCATGAAACTTGATCTGCTAATTACATTATACGCTGTGCATTCTGTCAGCAACACCCTATTTTTGGCAAAAAAACCCAAGAGGGTTCATTCAAACACCTGGTAACAAGCCTATTTGCCTACTCTGGGAAGATGCCACTTACCGAACTGGTGATATGAGAGGAAGAAAAGGCAGTCATTACAGTAGAGTTCACTGAAAAACAAAATATACTTAAGATAGAAGACCCTAGATTCAGTGCTAGGCAAGGAACTTGTTCATATGCGCCCACAGAAATATGTCCCCATTCATTTGTTTCCTCATAGCAAGGAATTTCTGGCTATGGCTGAGCAGAGGAGAACTTACAGTATGATGATTCCATACAGGAGATGCGGATAGTGGTTCTGTAACACTCCAGTCCAGCCTACACTCTGACTTTATATCTCAATTATTCTTCTCTCTCACTCATTCAGCCTCTCTGAGTGAACTTAAAAACTAGTGCAGAGTCACTAAAAGAAACTCTTCTTCATTTTCTTTTGAAACTGGGAACTCCAGAGATGCTTCTAACGACCTCACATCATATCCTCTCATACATGCTTGTATATAATTCTTGTATGACATGAATTTCAGCATTAAACAAATAATAAAGACTATTGTTTATCAAATACCTATTTTCTCTGTTTTGATCATCAAAAGGCAATGATTTAAGTGAAAAGAAATAAAAGATGGAGAGAAAGGAGATCAGTGATTTTAAGCTAGGTCTGCCATTAAGGAACATAAAATGATCAGGAAGAAACAGTAAATGTAACAGTACTCAAATGTCACAGCAAAAATATGGGATCTTTTAACAGTAGAGTACAAATCCATTGCTTTTTCTGTAATGAAACAGTAAAATCAGAAGCCTCCAGCACTCAGAAGGTAATTCCAATTATTTCACTATCTTACAAAAAACCCCATTCGGACAACTGAAATTCTTCCTGAATCCTAATGTTATTTTGCAGAAGAAAAGAAAACTACAGAAAATACTTAGAACTCATGATGGTAAATCAATTCCAGGTCAGCAAAGCCATCTTCCTTTAGAGCATTAAAAGAATTTCCTTTAGAGCATTTTCTAGTGTTTTTCCCCATCTAATATCAAAATACCAACTCATTATTTCTCACTGCTTCTCTGAGAAGATAAACTACAGACTAACAGACCTGACTGTCAGGAAGTCAGACATGGTGAAAAGGCGACTCTTTGTCTCCTACGTATCCTAGCATTTTTCAATTACTCCTAAACCTTCCACTTTCAGCTCAATAGATAATCTCTCTCCTTCATGAGTATTTACAACTTTAAGTTATTAACACTTCACCTTGAAAATATCACTGTGATCTCCTGCTACTTGCTATTAAACTTTTATTCTTTGCTCATTAGTTGGTTGGTCCCCATGTCCCTTGCTTAATTCATCACTCTTTTTGTACTCTGTACAGATAGATTGCAGGTAATGATCAAACAGGGGAGCAACATGACAAAATGCAGTTTTGCCAAAGTTTATTATGTGAGGTGATACTTTAGGATCTTCTTAAAGCCTTCTCAGTTTTTCAGGGTTCTTACCAAAAGGCAGACATCAGTGCACACTAATGCCATGCTATGCAGAATGGTCGTTCTGCTTTGTCTCCAAATGTCCCTGTTTATCTGTGCAACAATCTCATCCGTCATTTTAGCCAGAATAAAACCTCTTACTTTATCATCTACCATGACACCAAGTCTTTCTCTGGCATGTTTTCTTACAGAACAGGTATTCCTGTCCTCCGTAGGTGTATTATTTTCCTTCGAGATAGTTGGTTTTAGTGCACTGTTGAGTTGGACTCTGCCTTATTTTTCCCTATCTTAACCTTTATGTTACCAGAAGATCACCAGTACCCTTCACAGAATCGTCTAGGTTAGAAAAAACCTTGAAGATCATCCAGTCCAACCATTAACCTCACACTGACCATTCCCAACTACACCAGATCCCTCAGCGCTGGGTCAACCCGACTCTTCAACCCCTCCAGGGATGGGGACTCCACCACCTCCCTGGGCAGCCCATTCCAACGCCCAACAACCCCTTCTGTAAAGAAATGCTTCCTAATATCCAGTCTAAATGTTCCCTGGCTCAACTTGAGGCCATTCCTTCTTGTCCTGTCGCTTGTTACTTGGTTAAAGAGACTCATCCCCAGCTCTCTGCACCCTCCTGTCAGGGAGCTGTAGAGGGTGATGAGGTCTCCCCTCAGCCTCCTCTTCTCCAGACTAAACACCCCCAGTTCCCTCAGCCGCTCCCTGTACGACCTGTGCTCCAGA